AAAACACCGGCACTCAGCAGTGACATTCTAAACTAACGGTTATATGGCACTTTAAATATGATGTAATACACAAATTGAATTCATTAGTTTCCACTTCTGCCAATAAGCGTTGTGGGAAGGAACAGTTTGTGATCCATTGCTTGATGGACAGCAATGGCTACTGTCATTCTGTGTCGATGCAGAAGCTCTTTAATGTCACAAATTTTAACTATGGTGTGCAAATAATTCATTTAAAAAAGTCTAGTCATTTTAAAACACACCATATACAACAGTTTCCCCCTTCATCAGGTTTACCCGCTGTAAAACTCTTACAGTAGTAGTACATTTTACCCCACTAGGACATCATACAAGCGATAAACACCCGATGACACAAAGTGCCACCATGTGGATGAGGATCACCTGTGGAGAGGTCCCTGAAACCGCGCTCAGCTATTAAACCATAGTTATGGCCGAGCTATATTGCGGCCCCTGACAAGAGCCAGAGTGGGGGTTCAAAATAACAGAAAATTGCATCCCGCAAGAGGATGATCAGTGTTATAAACTCTTACACAAAGTCCTGTTTATTTGACCACTTCCAAACTTTGCTTTTGTTCCAGGATTTAAGTTCTGCATGCAAATCCTTTTGACATGTATGGTTTAATTGTTTGCAGACTGTTGGTTTCTTTGCCTGTCAGGCAGATGCACTCCAACTTCGAAGGAAATATGGATTTTATCTACATTGACCAGGCTCTCAGTTGGGAACCTGTTTCTAGGATGACTGTGGAGAGGTGTCGATAGACCTTGAGCTCAAACCCTGGTGCCTCACCATGTGTGCTTCAGCACATCTGCATCCTCTTCAGTTTCCGAAATAAGACGTCGTTAACGGGCCATAATAATAAACATTATGCAAACATCCTGAGATCTGACAATCGTCTTCAAGTGCTGACAACCAGCACATTTCCTCCGAAGTCAGAGTACATCTGCCGGAGAGGCGGGGAACGAGAACTGCGAACAAAAAAGCCAGTAAAACGGATGTACACGCAAAACTCAGGTCAAGGTAAAAGCCAAAAGTCTATTTTGGACGAACAACCGCGACTTACCGCCGGAATTCACAGCCGGTGAACAAGAAGAAGAAGAAGAAGGAGCACATAACAGATTTTCTGTCCTTGATATTTTGGTGTGCAGAGTAATGAGCAGACTGACAGACTGGCTGCTGCCACTCTTCTGGGCAGTGAACTACTTTATGAATAGAAAAAACAAAAAGATGTAGAGAAGGCTCTATAGGATTGAATGGATAGTGCAACAAAACAGACAGAGAATTCATACACTGAAAGACTAATTCAACATAGGGGGACAAGGGGTTCTAGAAGATATCCAACACAGGGGGAGGGAAAGGCAGCCGATAATCAGGTTGCAGCTGGTACAATTATCATGTCGACTCTCTGTGGACTACTGAAGAAGGAGATGGAGCACAAGTAGGAATGTCCCAAGTGCAGTGATGTCCAAGCTGGATCCATTCATTCATACATCAACAGAAAAATACATAGGTCTTTTATTTTATTGTATTTATTGGTACATGAAAGGTAAGCAGTACAACAACGAAACATGCCCTAACATTTATACAGAATACATTCACATAAACACAGACACTGAACATTTACAGAATCAAATATCATTGCTCTTTTGGTAAACCCTGATGTGTTCAGTCTCCCAACAAATGCGACAAATTGTATACCAGTTACACAGAAATAAAACAACTGAGCGAATTTGAATATCTAGGGTCATTTTTCACCTCAGATGGAAGAATGGATAGAGAAATCAACATACGATGTGTGAAAGCAAATCAGTTTATGGGACAATTAACACCGCTTTTGATGCAAAGAAAGATACCACTGTCAACCAAAGCAAATCTCATAAGAACCATTTTTTGGCTGACATCGTGCTACCAGTGCCAAACATGGACCTTTACCACAAGTAATGAGCTGAAGATCTTAACAACAGAGATGAGATGTCTTAGGAGAGCTGCTGGTGTGATAAGAAGAGATAAAATCAGGAATGAAGAAATTAGAAAAAGACCAGTCATACAGTTCATTAAAAAACAAAAAATGAGGTTTGGCCACCTGATGAAAATGACCTGGTACCAACTGCCACAGAGAGCCACGCTGAAGAAATATAATGAACACAGACCAAGGGGAAGACCACGCAAGAGATGGATCGACATCATCAGGAGCAACCTAACAGAAATGAACACCAACTTTTACAATGTATTGGAAAATGCACACAAAGGATCCTTACATACTCCCCCCCCCCCCCCCCCCCAACCTGCATAGTGCATGCCAACTACTGCACTAACCATGTGGCCCTAATAGTTCAGTCTCAAGATTCCCCTGTAAGGGTTACTGATTTGAGAAATGACATCACGGAACACTGGGAATACCCATAGGGCCCATCTTCATGTTGGTCAGCCCCTGCCCCTCCTTCCTGGTACCATGCCTTCGGCTGTAATTTTGTCCAATCCGTCGTGGCGCTTGATACGACCAAAATATTTCAGCTTCAGAGACAGGATGCTTTTTATTAGCCAGTCTTATCTGATGTTCAGATCTTTCAAGATGTCATTATTTCTCCCATATTCTTACACATGTTATTTCAGCTAATCTCATGACTCCCATCAGTATTCATAAATGGTCCTAAGAATGTCTCCTTCAAACAGCCAATGAATTCCACACAAAATCGATTCAACATCCAATGATCTGGAGCGCAGCACAGGGCCAGCCAAATTACGAAAGCAGACAATCGAGCGGAAACCACAACAAATAGAAAGCGACAAATACTGAACACAATTCAAAACCAAATGAGATCGAGACCAGAAACGTCACCACAAATATAGCAGACAGGAAAGAGAGCAGAAATGTGATCTGACCTAGCTGAAAGTGGTCAATGTAAGAGAATTAGAAAAATTAGAATCTCCTTTGTCCAGTCTGAGTGTTCCATTGCTATCACTTTTGTAGCCAGAAAATCTGCTCTTTTATTTCCTCGCACTCCTGTATATATCTTGGACAGTATAGCCATGTAGGTCCCTGCAATAGTGGCGTGCTGATGCTTGGTGTCCTCCCATGCCACATTTGTTCATTCAGAACCATGTCCTACACTGCTCTAAACAGTGCTACATTTGTTCATTCAGAACCATGTCCTACACTGCTCTAAACAGTGCTACATTTTTGCAGTGAAAACATTTTAAAGAAATTAAAAAATAGTCAGGAATACTGAAACATACTGAACAGATTTAAATATTTACCAAAGGAAAAGAGAATTTTCTTCATCTTAGTGTTCTATTTCTATTACCTGATGACTGAATGAAATGATGGATGAAAGGACGGAGACTAGAAGGGCAGAATATTTGTGCCAATTTCTTAATTCTTTGAAAATAAAATTTGTACTTTTTTTTGTTCGTTCACTTGCTGTAAACTCATGCAGAACAAAAAGTAGGTCACCTGCCCCTATAAATATGTCGTAGGAGACAACTAATTAGGGGAGCTTCTTTTAAAGTCTGAGCACATCTGCCCGAGAGCCAAAGAAACAAGTCTCCATACAAATAAGCCAGATCTGCGCACAGACCAAAGTTCAAGAGTGGAGGAACAACCATAACTGTCCGCTGGTGAACGCTAAGAAGGAGAGGAAAATGACCACAGTGGCTCACAGGGCACCACAGACATACTGTTTATAGACAAACTGGCACCAGATGGGTGATGCGGTCAAAATCATACAACTGACTGTTAGTTCTCAGTGCAATTCCTGATACCAATTTTAGTCAGGCCTAGATCACTAACAACAAGAAAAATTATGTGCCGTCTTCCCAACAAATGCTAGCTACAGTGACAGCCGGCATGGTGTAGTGGCTAAACACTCGCCTGCAGATCTAAAGGTCATGGGTTTAGGTCTTCGTGGAGCCAAACTTTTTTTTTTTTACTCGGCTCTCAGGTCGACCCAGCCTTAAAAGGGTACCAGGTAAAACCCTGGGAAGTAAAGGTGACCGGCGTGATGCTGACCACATCTCCCACCCAGTGCTGATAGGTCTATAAAATATAGATCTAGCCCTATATGCCAATACGCCTGTTGGCATGGAAAAGGGCCTTTTGCTTACAGCGTAACCACTGCTTTCTTTTGGGATATTACACGTAAAACCTCAATCTCTTCCACAGTATGACTCTCGTAATAGTGTCCAAAAACCACAAGAATTATTTTTTTTTAAAATAAACCAATGTCTATCACGACACAAAAAAAGAAACCATTACATATGGATCATGAAATTGTTAAATGTATTACTTACTTGACCAGCTTGGCCAGTGAACATCTTCCAAGACTCAGGACAGGCTATAACAAAATTAACAAGCATATGCACAGGCTTCAGCTAAGTAGGTCACCACTGTGTCCATGTGCAAAACTGCAGAAGATGTCCCGCAAGAATGTGCCGAGTACAGCCCATTAAGAAGGGAATACTGACCCAGTGAGTCAACACTGCACTCACAGTTGTTTAGAAACTAAAATGGAGCTCCTAAAAAAACAGCCAATTTTATTATACTAACTTGTCTGTTGGTGTAAATCAGACTGCGATCGCCAGAAGAAAAGGTCAAATGAATTCACTAACCACAAAACCATGGGACCACTTACACTTATATAAAAATCTACCTTAAATAACCACATGTAGGACTTTGGGGGGGGGGGGGGGGGGGTAATATCCTACCCCAGATGATGTCACAGGACAGTCCGCAACATTTTAGAGGGTGGTAAGACTAGGTTTCCCAGCTTTCTGATGCTTTTAATGACCCTAACCCCAACCCACCTACATCCCACAAGAGTGCAGCCTAGGTCCCACAACTGCATGCAGCCTATCTACCACCCCCTGAAATATTTGACTGTCCCGTGACCTGTCCCCCCTGTCTGGGGTAGGATATTAATAAAGCACCCACTTTTTTTTAAAACCCGATATTGTAAGAAGACTGAAGTTGGGGCATACTTGAATTCTAATACTGTCCTTGATTATAACCTCCATAGCCGCCTTGCATCTGGCCACCCATCTGACCCTGACCCATGCTATTTTGGGGTATCTGACTTTGGCTTACTGTACCTTGTTGCCCTGACATCTGATTAGGCATGGTGCCCTGAGAGGTGCCCAGTTGCCCACCCATGCTGCTTTGCATGTGACCCATCTGGCCGCCTTGTCCTCCCATCTGGTTCTGGTTTGGCATACCGCCCTGAACACCCATCGGATTAGGCATTCCCCCCTGAGATACCCCCATGGGGGAACTCATGCCTCCTTGAGGACCAGCGCTCATCTGCCCCTGCATCCCACCCATCTGCCCGGCCATTTCCTGAGAGCTGGTCATCTGGCCACTCATGCTTCCCTGTGTGCTGGTCATCGGCTTCTGGCCCATGTCCCCTTGTTGGCCTCCCATACTGCCTTGCTGAGCCATCTGTCCGGTCATGTTTCCCTGCATGCCAATCTGAGGTGCCCCGGTCTGCCCTCCAGCCATGGTGCCTTGCTGCTGCTGCTGCCCCATCATGGCCTGCTGCCTGTTGTAGGGGGCATAGCCTCGAGGGGTGCCAGGGCTCTGCTGATTCATAAACTGGCCCGGCTGCGAGGCAGCAGCTGGTACTGGCTGAGAGTATCCTTGCTGCTGTCCTTGCTGTGCACTGAACTGCTGCTGTTGTTGCTGCTGCTGCTGCTGAGGGTATCCTTGCTGACTGGTGTATGGAGGACCTGCAGAAAAAAAAACTGTCTTTAGTATCACTGTTTTTAAAGCCATGATACCAATTCCATAATGTGTACTTGTAGCTGTAACTTCTTCTTTTTCTTTGTTCACTGGCTGTAAGTTTTGATGTTAGGTCCTGGTTGCTCGTCCATTTAGACTTTGGCTTTATGCCAGGGCCTGAGTTTGTGCGTACATCTGTTTTACTGGCTTATTTGTGTGCAGCTGGTTGTTCCTTCCCACTTGGGCAGATGCACTCCGACTTCGAAGGAAGCTCTCAATAAGTAGACTCTTACGTCATGTTTATTGGAGTGGCAGTGGGTCTATTCTTGTCTCCCCACAATGGGGCCCCAAACCCACAAGGGTTGCTATGCTGTAACAAGAGCTGTTTGTGTTATTATATAGCAAAAGTAAAGGGCCTTTCTTTGGCTGCTGTCACATTGGTGATGATGCACATTGTTTGGTGGGTAACTAAAGGTAAAACACTCTTTCCATGCCAGTGGCACTTCCAAGTAATTTAGAATTGGTTCTGTGCCCTCGTACCTAATCTCTTGTGGTCACTCCTGCAGCCTTTCTCAGACATCTTATTTTCATGGTTAATAGTTTGTTTTCTGGTTTGTTGTCAGTGACCACGTCTGGCACTTGTAGTAGCATGGGGTGGGAATGTAAATCCTTTGTATGAGATGCTTCTTTGTGCTGACTGTTTATTTGGGGGGTGGGGGTGGTGTCCGTCTCAGGTGTTGGAGTCCCGGGTTCAGGCCGGGACTTTTTCACATGCAGTTCTAGTAATTTTTCCCTGGTATATGGGTAGTAAGATTGGACGCCCGTGTGTATTATTGTGCACATAAAAAGTATTTCAGGATTCTCGCCGGTGATACGGAGCTCGTGCACTGTGCTGAGACTTCAGACTCAGACTTGAGTTAGAAGTAGAATGAAGCACTTATGGTCAGTTGTTCAAACCAACCAGCTGATTGTACTGCCTTATGCTGTAGGGGGGGGAGCTAGCTGTTTCAATACACTGATAGTGAATTATCTAAAAGTAGAAGGTTGAAATGATTACCTGGTTGAGCTCTGCGGTAGCCACCCTGCTGACCACCTGGCCGAGCACCCATCATCTGATTAGGCCCAGATGGCATCATCGCAGGGTTCGAACTCTGTGCCATGCCGGATGGATGCTGCGACATCATAGGCTGACTCTGAGGCATCATCTGCTGGTTCTGTGTCATCATTGGCTGCTGGGGTGGCATCATGGGCTGCTGCTGTTGTTGCTGCATCATCTGTTGTTGCTGAGGCATCATGGGGCTGACACTCTGCCCTATGCTGCTCTGGGACATCTGGCCCATCCCATTCTGTGATATCATTGGCTGTTGCTGTGATATCATAGGCTGCTGCTGCGCCATCATTGGCTGGTTCTGCGACATCATTGGTTGGTTCTGCGACATCATTGGTTGGTTCTGGGACATCATTGGTTGGTTCTGGGACATCATTGGTTGGTTCTGTGACATCATTGGTTGGTTCTGGGACATCATAGGTTGGTTCTGAGGCATCATTGGCTGGTTTGTGACATCATCGGCTGTTGGCCCATCATACTTTGCTTCTGTACCCCAAAGCTTCCTTGCTGTTGCCCATAGCCCTGGTTACTCATTGGTCCTGTCAGACACATTTAAACGAAAAAAAGGTAACAATATTCTCAAGGCAGATCACTTTTCTGTATCCGTCATTAAAAGAGCAGTTAGCACGCTTGGTTGCGGTTACAGCTAAGCATCTTCCAACCTAACACATCCAGTTTCAGCAAAACTCACAATTAGTCATTTTGCTGATTAGGGCGGGAGGGGGGGGGGGGGGGGGGATAATCCAGGTCTGCAATGGTCAAATGTTCATTTCAAAATAGTATGATGAGTCGTTAGACATAGCTGACATAGAAAATGAGCAGTCATCCACAGAAAGTCAGATCAGTACATCAGCCACAAACGTACGGAGTCGAATAACCACAAATTAATACATCATCCACTTTATCACATCCCTTTGGAGACAGTCAAATTAACATATCCATCATCATCACCTATATGTAGCAGGTCCTTGGAGGGAGGAGATAATTCTATTCTTGTTTTCCCCCTGAAAGGCGCCCTGGAACTCCCACAAGGATGGCAGGTACTACAGTTAAAAGAGAATTTCTTCTTCATCTTTGCGTTCACCGTACACGCACATTCGTTTTACAGATCTGACTTTTTGTATGCAGACTGTTGGTTCCTAGCCTTTCAGGCAGATGCACACCTGAAATCCACAAAGGTAAGTGAGAATTTGTTATCTAGTACTTTAAAGTGGGAGCAGCCGTGCAGTAGTGGCTAGACATTCATATGAAGATAGTAGGTTCAAATCTGCATCAAGTCAGATTTCTTTGAAAAATGACCTTGGTTACCAGGAGGTTGACCCAGCCTCAAATGGGTACCAGGTACAGTCCTGGGAATTAAAGGCAGTCTGACAAATGTTCACACTCAGAACCGTACACTGCAAACTCAGAGCACTCCTCTATCGAATGGGTCTTGCTAACTCTGCTGCCTGTGGTTGTGGCTCATCAAAGCAAACTCCACAGAGTGTCTTACAGTAATGCCCAGACTTTGCCAGTCAGAGAGAGGAAATCTGGCCCACAGGAGGGTCCCTACTTCTTCTTCAGTGATCTCTGGTCATGCACTCCATCCACTGTGCGCCACAGACTGAGATGTCAAGGTCTCTTAGATTTCCCCAAAGCGTAGTTGTCAGTTTAACTGGGCATGGCCACATGATTTGCAGATCTGCCAGGTCTTGCAAGACATGCTCATACCTAATTTGTATGAGTGTTTTTTTAGCCTGCAGTGTCCAGTGCATAGGCGAAAAATTATGACTTGTTCTGTTTAGGTGTTTGAGGAAAATCTTTCTCATGGCATTAACCTGCGTTAGTTTTCTCAAATATTTCTAATTTTCTATAAATGAGGGTTTTGACTTCTGGAAAAGACAGCGGGGGGGGGGGGGGGGGGGGGGGAGATTTGTGGTTTACTGCTGAAGCATCCCTACAAGATAAACTATGGGTGGACAGGTGAAGATCTCAAGCAAACTGTCCTGTTTATGACCTCATGCTGGAATAGAAGCAGAGCAGACAATGACTGCCAAAGAAGAAGAAAAAGAAGAAGATGAAGAAGAAGAAGCAGCAGAAGAAGGAGACTCCTACCTGCAGCCATGTGTCCACCAGATCCTGGAGGCCTCATCTGGTTCATCTGACCAACAGCTGCACTTCCCATCTGGTTTCCAGGAGCCTGTGATTGAAAGAATACCAACATCAACTCCTTGTATACCAGACACATCAAATGAGGTATGCCAAAAACTGCAGATTAGCACACAAAAACTATTTTCTTTATTTTCCCATAAACTTTATTTCTAAACCCATTTTGTTCTAGTCAAGTAGCCATGGAAATGTTTTTTTTTAAAATAAAACAATGAGGAAAGTATGCCACAAACTGTGCTGACCAAAAAAATTTTATTTTTTATTTTATCAATATATTTACAAACCAATTATTTTCTATGTTGCGAATACCTTTGACTACCAGAATAAATAATAACAATTATTGCCTGGAAATGGCTAATGAAAGTAGAACATTAAATACAACAATAAGAAGGAGACAAGCAAAGTTTTTTTTTTGGGTCATGTGATGAGAAAAAGAGCACTGGACAATATCGTGACAACTGGAATGATCACTGGTAGAAGAGGCAGAGGCAGACAAAGAGAAATGATGGTGGATGACTTCAGACAGTGGCATGAATGAATATCATCAGTGGAACTGATCCAGAACACCAAGGACTGAGATCTGTGGAGATGCATGAACGCCTAAGCCAGCTGGCAAGGCATTTGATGATAATGATTATTATTTTCTAGTCAAGCAGCCACAGGGACTTTTTATGGAGAAAACAATGAGGTTAAAAAACAGTGCAGGTTAAAAAACTTGTTGCACCCTCCCCCAGTAAACATGTTCCAGGAAGAAAGTTTGCAACCAGACAATACATCATGATCCTGAAACCCAGGCCTTACAAACGTGAGTAGATCAGTAAAACTTATGATGGTTTAGACATGTAGGCAGAACGGGAGGGAATCAGCCATAAATGCAGGCATGGGAGGTCAGGAGTCAGAGAACCAAACCTCCAGAATGACCCAGGGGTTTGCTGGGAACACAAAATTCAACAGTCTCTGACAGACAGAGGACTGGAATAGAACAATGCCAAAAAGAAAACTCCTGACAGTCTGGTGATCTCTTGGCAAACCTCTAAACATCAAGGTAGAAGAGGATCGACTAAGTAAGTAAATTTGAACAAGGAAGACACAAACAATAGATTGCACAATTTATTGCCTCGCTTATTTCGCCAGGTGCATACTACAATAACAATTACATAAATGAAGCAGATAAGTGAATCCTTTATAACTGAAGTACAATTTCAACAATGATCAAACATGACTGCCTGTTTTACCAGGACAGCCGTAAAGACAGAACCATATCTTTCTGTTTACAGAATTCCGGGCGCATGTGACGAATCAAGAAAGATTCAATCTATCTGTGTCTTCTTTGTTCAAATTTACAATGGGGAAACATTGCTTTTAAGTAAGTCAAGTATAAGTAACCGCTTACTAAGCCTTCGAACTTGGGTTTCCTGAACAAAAGCTCAGTTTTCTAATCATCAGACAACTGCCCCTCTTTACTACAAAATCAGCAGTGGAAAGGAAAGGTTATAATCTTTAATCTAGCTTGTACACTAAGTGGTGATCACTTTGGCAAATAACCTCAACCATTTTAGAAAATCCTAATGACAAGCCACAATCAATTATACACATATGTCATTCTTTTCTCCCGGTTTTTAACTCCCAATGGAACCTAGGTTCTCAACCAATTTATGCCTAGCTATTTGTAGACCTGGTCATGATTTACATAATGCTGACACAAACAATACACTGCATAATTTATCACGTTTTTCTAACTGAACTACACAAACCACAAATCTTTAGTTTAATTACACCTCACCACTGTAAATTCAAGATTAGCCATGTGATTACCATAGAAGTTTCAAATTTACCATATGTTATTTTTGTTTGCACAAAGCTGGATAGTTCACTTTAACTGTCACAGCTTTAGCCAGGTCTAGTGAATGCCTACTGAGTGAGTGGTTTGGATTTTGCGGCTTAAGTTTCAGTAAGATGAGAGAGCCAACCTCCATGTCAACATTCTTTAATCTTATTTTATTTACATCTACAGTAGATTACAGTGTTACTATTCTTTTGCTTCCCTTATGGGACTAGGTAATCCATGGGTTTTAAACACACCATTAATACAGTAAAGTGAAGGTCCCTGTGCTTGCCTTAGGTATACTGTAGAGCAGAGCTATTCATCTGGTGGCCCGGAGGCTTAGCAAATGGCTTGCGGAACATTGTCAGCTGCCATTACTAATGATCTTTTTGTACTGGGGTTCGGGCAGAGGCCTTTGATAATTTCCATTTTCAAAATGGTGGCCTCTGAGTCAACCTATTTGAACAACCCTGTTGTAGCTGCTAGATCTATATTTTTATAGACCAAACGGCACTTGATGGGTGGGTGGGTCAACATCAAGCCAGCCAATTTTAAATCGTGGGTTCCTGGGTCCATTTTTTTTAATAACTCGCTCTATGTGGATTTGATCGTGAGACCTTCTGCATGGCAGGCAAGCCTCTAGCCACTATACTACCACAGCTCCCCTAGGACTCTGTGGTGAAGTGTTCAAGCCGTCTGCTCTGTGCTCCAAAGGTTAATTTAAAGGTTTCTTTTCAGTTCAAGGGTGCAATTTGTCCACAAACCCCCGGGAATCGTCGCCAAAGTGATGTTTGTGTTTGTGCGGCACTCTCGGCAGGTGGCTAGCCGGTTTAACCCAGTTTAATGAAGTTGATCATCTCGACTTTAACCTTTAATATATTGTAATGAAGAAAACAAAGAAAATAACATACAGGCAGCAGTGCATGAACATTTGTGCTGGAGTCTGCCAGATTGGCCAAGTAGACCAGGTTACGATGTAGAAGCTGCTGGTACCTGCAATAGAAACAGATCAATTATAATAAATATAAATACATTTAATGGCTGCAGGAGTGACCAGAAGAGATGAAATAAGGAATGAAGTCATATAAGCAAAACAATGGCACAGAACCAATTATAATTTACATAAAAGAAGACAACAAATCAAATGGTTTACCCACTTTGAGAGTTAGCCTTGTGAAGCCATACAAGGCATACACCCAAAAAAAAGGTGGACATAGAGCACATAGAAGACCAAAAACAAGATAACGTTATGTTTCCAGAAGTCCACCACAATACCTGTATCATTCATGTGCCGCTAACTTACACCTTTATATTGTAGTAGAGGTCGCAACATCTTTTCATCATGTAGCAGGTCTTTTGCAGAACATCGCTCTCATCACAGTCTGCCTGAAAGAAACTCAGTCTCTCACCAGCTCCTCTGCCTTGTGCACTTTCTTCATGCCAGTCGGCCCCTGCTCCTTTTTCCTTGTTGCACTTGATGTGGCACAAATATTTCAGTTTCTGAGACAAGATGCTGTTTATCAGCCAATCTTCCTTGAAGTTCAGATCTTTTGTGACATTAGGTTTTAAGTTCTTTTTTGTCCATGGTATTCTGGGAATCTTTAAATCTTCTACGCATCTGTAATTCACCATGGAAGATGTTCTTAGCAATCACTGTCAAATGTTTAATGGCATAACCAGGACGATGATTAGTCAACAAAGAAGTGAACAGTTCAATACAACGGAGCTCTCAAAAGATAAAACAACACAGGTACTCACTGGATGCACTCATTGCTCTTGCCTTTCATCTGGAAATCACTGATTGTCTGTATCAGGTGTGTGTTCTCATCGAGAATCTAGGACGGAAATGGTCAAATGTTCACTTCAAAATGGTATGATGAATCGTTAGACAAAGTGAAAATAGAAAATGAGCAGTCCTCCACAAACAGAGAATCAAATTAGGATTTCATCCACATAAAGTCAGATCAGTACATCAGCCGTAAATGTACAGAGTCAAATTAACACAAATTATTATATCACCCACGTCTTAACTCAAATTAACATATTCCCTACATCTCATCATGTAGCAGGTCCTTTGCAGAACGTCGATCTTTCGCCAGCTCTCCTGCCTCATGTACTTTCATACTCAAGGAGTCACTTATGTCCTGTGCCCATCTTCGTGTTGGTCAGCCCCTGCCCCTCCTTCCTGGTACCATGCCTTCTGCTATTATTTTTTCCAATCTGTCTTTGCGCTTGATATGACCAAAATATTTCAGCTTTTGAGAAATGATGCTGTTTATTAGCCAATCTTCCTTGATGTTCAGATCTTTTAAGATGTCATTATTTCTCATTTTCTTTGTCCAAGATATTCTGAGAATCTTTCTATAGCATTTCAGCTCAAAAGCCCCTACTCTATTTCTTAAGGACTGAGAGATAGTCCACGACTCACATCCGTATGTAGCCACAGGGAAGATGCATGCTCTCAAATTTCAATTTCAAGGCTGTTCAATCTCTGCATTGCTATGGCCATCCTCCTTTTAATTTCTATTGAACAGTCTCCATTAACATATCCATCATCATCATCTTCATGTAGCAGGTCCTTTGTAGGACGTCGTCCTCATCAAAGTCTGCCTGAAAAGAAATTTGGTCTCTCACCAGTTTTCCCGCACTTTCTTATCTAAGCAGTTACTTATATCCTGTGCCCACCTTCATGTTGGTTGGTCCCTGCCCCTCCTTTCTGGTACCATGTCTTATTCTATTTTTTTTTTTACTCCACTGTGGCACATGATATGACCAAAATATTTCAGCTTCTGAGACAAGATGCAGTTTATTAGCCAATCTTCCTTGATGTTCAGATCTTGTAGAATGTCAGTATTTATTTCCTTCTTTGTCCAAGGTATTCTGACAATCTTTCTATAGCATTTCAGCTCAAAAGCACTTATTGTCTTTCTTTAGGATCAGAAAATAGTCCATGACTCATCTGCAAATGTAACTACAAGGACAACACATGCTCTCAAAATTTTAACTTTATTTGATTTCCTTGTAACCATAGACTTTTAACCCTCTGGAGAAGACGCGGCCGAAATATCGGCCTGACACAAAGTAGCCAAAAGGACAACTGGGCCGATCGGTCGGTCCTATGTAATACAAGCCTTGAGATTAGCTGGCAGGTTTTTGTAACCAGCCAGTCAGACTGCTTCTCGCATTGCCAGAAGTGTTTCCATGAGCCTTATTGCCCAAACAAATGTTTTATTCAAGTTTCATCCATTAAAAAATTAACCCAAGTTTTTTAGGTTATGTTTGTTCCCAAGTTTTAAAAACATGCTTGCATAAACTATGCAAAACAGAATAGTTAATTTTTCAGGTTAGTTAGGTTTGTTCCCAATTTTTTTTTCAATTGCTTGCATAAATTATAAAAATCAGAATAATTTATCTGAATAAATGTTGAGATTCCAGATTGATTTATAAATATTCTGTTAGTTCATTCATGTATATAACACTTTTTTTGGCTATCCTCCATATAACGGTCCCAAATTATCAAGGCCGAAAATATACCCTAACAGGGCCTCAGTCACATGTAAATTGCGGACTTCCGGCGACTACCGCCACCAAAAAGAGTACTCTTGCGCCGCTAAACTAGATGAAATTAAGGAAGCTGCAGGAGATGCGGTAGCTGCTGCTCGTGAGTCCTAGCCATCTAGTTTAGCCCTGCTCCATGCCGCATGTATCGGCATGGAGGGTACTCTCGGCGGTGGCCGCCGAAAGTCCGCAATTTAAGTCGCTGGAAGTCCGCAATTTACATGTAACTGAGGCCCTGTTAGGGTATATTTTCGGCCTTGATAATTTATGACCGTTATTTGGAGGACAGCCCTTTATTTTGTATAATTTTTTGTGTATAAACTATGAGAATCCCTTCCTGAAGGCTTCCATTTTTTGGCACTGAAACTCCAAAAAAGTCTCTGCCTCCAGAGGGCTAATGATAATGCCAACAATGTTGTAACTGCTATATATATGGCCATCCTCCTTTTGATTTTGATCGAACGAAAGGTCTTCATTCATTGTCTAGCAGATCATGATATTCAAAGCTGATATTTAATTTACATAATAATAATAATAATACACACAGCCACTTAATTTGAACACAGTGCATATATTCATTTGTGCGAATTTTCAAGAAAATAAATTTAGCCTATCTATTAATTGAAATAATTGGACTAGCTAAAAAACTAAACAATGAACAACGGACAAGAAAACATTGCCGACTATGTTCACTATGACTAACAATACTCAATAGTCAACACAATAGCAATATACACACACAGCTCACAATTTAAAAAAAAAAATTTTAACTGTATTTTTTCTCAGTATTTGGTATTACCTTTTGTATTCCTGCCTGTGTTGGAGGCTGGCTGGGTAGTTTCTGGTGCTGGGGGACGTAAGCGGTCGACATGGTGGTGGTGCTTTGTGCTGCTGTCCGATAAATGTGTTATTATGATCAGGCCTGGGTCAGCGTTACTCTCCCATGCAGGAGTCTGGTTGTAGTCTAAATACCGAAACATACGAGAAAGACTTTATATAATAGTAGTTGCAGCAGCATCAGCGGTGGTGGTGGTAGTAGTAGTAATATTGGTGGAGGTAATGGTAGTAGCAGCAGCAGCAGCAGCAGCAGCAGCAGTAGTAGTAATAGTAGTAGTAGTAGTAGTAGTAGTAGTAGTAGTAGTAGTAGTAGTTAGTGGTAGTAGTAGTAGTAGTAGTAGTAGTAGTAGTAGCAGTAGTAGTAGTAGTAGTAGTAGTAGTAGTAGTAGTAGTAGTAGTAGTAGTAGTAGTAGTAGTAGTAGTAGTAGTAGTCATTTTTCAAAAAAAAAGCCAACGAAGAGTTGACTTGCTAAAAGCACCAACTGCAACCTGATCAAAAGTCCGTCCTGTTCCCCCCCCCCCCCCCCCCCCCCCCCCCCCCACCCCCCCCCCCCCCCCCCCCCCCCCCCCCCCCTCTCAGTGTTGAATATCTTACAGACCATCTACATCCATCCCCCTCCCTTTTTTTTTTTTAGCAGCAGATCGTGTCTGTAGTGCATTTTGGTAGTGAATTGTAACGGCAAGACAAATCACTTTGGTCGTAGCGCGGAAAAGTGAAAATACCATTACGGTATTAAAAAGGGACGAAACTGGGGGAGTGACTAGAGTATTTGATGGTGACTCGCCTCTCCAGGAACAGACGAGACACACATTTATTTAATTAAATAAAACTTCTGTTGCTCTGGTAGTACTGGAACCAATTGCTGGCTCTGAAAATGATAACAGGACGCTTATGGGAATTTAGGGTGATGTGATGTCAGCTCTTAACTATAAAACATTCCTGTCTGTTAATAGTGCAGTATATCACAAAAAGACAGTCCATGTCCCCTTGACCAACAGCATTATCATGTTCAATGCTGATAAGCGTAGAGATCTCACACGATCACCAGAATTATGGATAAGGTCGGTGTTCTAGTTGTGCACTGACCATGTCGTCAAGCTATCGATGTATTTTTCTCCAACACTTCATGGAAATAATCAACAGAGGTACCTTGGTGATACTGCTGCATCGAGGGACTAAGCTCGCATAGGAATGCTTGAGATGCAGTAGCATTGACTGTGATAGCAACATGTATTTAAATCTTATAATAGAAACCAGACTGATAGAATAGAACCACAGCTGGCAGAAGAACAGATAGGATTTAGGAGAAATAGAAGCTGCTCAGATGCAATCTTCACACTTAAACAGTTAATAGAAAGGAACATTGAATACAATAAGAACTTATTTGTGGCCTTCGTAGACCAGGAGAAGGCATTTGACAGATATGGAGTAAGCGAACACCTCATCGAAGTGTGCAAACGTTTATACCGGGATTGTAGAAGTGTAGTTAGAATAAATCAGGGAACATCTCATCCATTCACAGTAACATCTGGAGTAATACAGGGGTGTGTCTTATCACCACTGCTGTTTATCACCTACATCGACAGTATATGCAAGAATGCCAAGCCCATGAATGAAAATGTTAGTAAGATCAACGAATTACTCTTTGCAGATGACCAGGCCTTGATAGCAGATACAGCCATGAAATTGCAACAACATCTAACATCCATGAATGAAGAATGTAAAACAAATAATATGAGAATCAACACTGAAAAGACAGAAGTAATGTCAATAGGAAAAAAAGAAGACAGATCTAAACAGGCATCTGAGTTTAAATATCTGGGAACTACATTTACCGAAGATGGGAAATTGGATAAAGAAATTAACATTAGATGCAGTAAAGCAAACCAAGTATTGGGACAACTAGCCCCCCTCTTACAGCATAAGACAATCCCAATCAGCACAAAGAGACATCTTATTCAAAGCATATTTATTCCAACTCTGTGCTACCAGTGCCAGACATGGTCACTCACAACAAACCATAAAAGAAAATTAGTAATCATGGAAATTAGATGTCTGAGAAGGGCTGTAGGAGTGACCATAAGAGGAATGAGATCATAAGAGAAAAAGTCGGCACAGAACCAATTCTAAATTACATACAAAGACAGCAAGTGAAATGGTTTTCCCACTTAGAGAGAATGCCTTGTGACACCATATTATACAAAGCATACATGGAAAGAGAAGAAAGTCGTAGAACAAGAGGTAGACCAAGAACAAGATGGAAGGAAAACATCAGAGAGATTCTACAACAGCACGATGTGCCTATGGTCGAGGCGGCCAGAAGAGCCAGAAAAGAACTTTATATCTCCCTCGACACCCACAGCGGTAAAAGAGGAAAGGAAGAAGAAGAAGAAGATTTAAAACCTTAGTCATTACTCTTTCTTTCTATTTTTTTACACCCCATCCATCTCCTAAAACGGATAGACAAACTCTTACTGGTGTGTAATAATTGGAACTCTGCGCTGGCTGCTAAAAATTGGGACAGGGCGCTTATGGGAATGTCCACAGTGCTGTGTTGTCGATTATTAATTAGCCTTTTGTCTCTCCCTGATACTTTGTAATTTCTTGCCATTAAAAAAAACAAATACGCGTACACCGGTGCCATACAAGTAGACATTTGCTGCGGCACACTTGCTCCGGCTTTCAACTTCCGGCACATCTTACATTGCAAATTTACAAGAGAAGAAAATGAGCGACAGATACGATCGTGCTATTACTGTATTTTCTCCTGATGGCCACTTATTTCAGGTTGAATATGCACAGGAAGCTGTCAAGAAAGGATCAACCGCTGTAAGAAAAAATAATCATTAGGACTGGAATATGCCATGCACTATAGTAATTATACATTATTTTAAAACTCACTTCACTAAAACTTCGACCCTAAGGGACGCAATCTAATAAATGTAGCCTAATAATAATACTTTAAACGCCGACTCTAGGGGATGTAATTAATTTTTTGTGTAAGTCCACATAATATTCTTTAATATTTATTATTGTTTGAAGCTAAGAGTAGAGTTAGAGACAGGGCTAACCCTAATCCAAACCCTAACCTGGAGCCTTATTAAAAGTTTCGGAACAATTATTATGTGAATATACACAGTGAAAATGGATTGTCTCTTAAGGTCGCCATTAAGTAAAAAACAAACATAGGCTATCCTCCAAATAACGGGCTTTAAAGATGGCGGCCACAAAATATCCTTTTGAGCCACAGTCTTGTGTCATTTGCACACTTTCAGCGACTTAATTTGCTGTTTTCCGGCGACTACCGCCACAGCACCGAGTCTCCCACGCCGCTAACGCGGCGTGGATTGGGGCTAAACTAGATGGCTAGGGCCCACGAGCAGCATGGCCTCAGTGATGTGTAAAATGCAGACTTCCTGCGACAAACACATCGCGGCAAAACTAGGATTACTTGACAATTTGTGTCTCTTGAGACTTAACACTGCAGATGATAATAGCGACTGTTAACAATTTCGAACATTTCTGCAGATGATAAATTTCGAGACACGCAACATTACAGACGATAAAAGTGACATGGCGGGGAGACCACATGCTCCGACGCAGATTAGCGATAGTGTTCTTCCGATTAAACTCCCCGCTACGAGCAGCCCGGATGGGGATCTAAACTAGATGCCTGGGACTCATGAGCAAATAAATTGGAGGAAGATGCAGTAGCTGCTGCTCGTGAGTCCCAGCCGTCTAGTTTAGACCCCAACCGTGGTGCGGGAGATACTCTCAGCAGTGCGGCATAGTCACAGAAATAGGTCCGCAATTAACATATCGCTGAGACCCTGTTAGAGCATTTGTTTCGTTATTGGGAGCCAATCCTAGTTTTTCCGCGACTGTTCGTCGCAGGAAGTCCGCATTCTGCATAGGACTGAGGCCCTGTTAGGGTATTTGTTTGGCCATAATATCATGTAGAAGTTCAGAGAAGAGCCAGAAATTCTTTTCATGTCTCAATTAATCTTGTCATCCCTTTGAGGGATGCAATTTTTCGTTATTTGAAGCCCCACTCTGGCTCTTGCCAGGGGCCGCAATATAGCCCGGCCATAAATATGGTCTAAGTGCTGAACGCGGTTTCTGGGACCTCTCCACGGGTGATCCTCATCCACATGGTGGCACTTTGTGTCATTGAGTGTTTATCGCTTTTGTGATGTCCTGGTGGGGTAAAAAAAGATAGATGTCTTAGTTCGGTCAGTCAAAGCAGTAATTTTTTTTTTTTTTAAACTTTTCAATGGTTTGCTTGTTTCTGTCAGACAGACTCTTGTTTCAATATTTAAAGTTATTTATTTTAAATGTTAATATTGAACAAGTAATTCCTAAAGCAGAAAGTTCCTTTTCGAAAATAAGAGCAGCATAATGTATCCTAATGCTGTAAAACTTGTCCATGCCTTCTAATAATATTAATATGGGCTGCTACAGTGTTAATTAATGATGACAATTAATAAATAATAATATTTAATATAATCCTTTCTGACTGGTCCTACGCTGTCTTCATAATACTATTATAATTATAGATCTCTGGAAGAGAATCACAAATTTGAAATACCACAAATGTAACTTTATTGGTGGTGTGTCATGATGGAAGACAAATGTTAAGATATGACCATCATGTGCTTATAGTTGTTCAAGAGTAGAAGTACTAGAAAAAGGAAGACCAATGAAGTTTGTAATCCAAGGTATTTGAAAAACTGAAGTAGAACAGGAAAGAATTAAGTAGGGAAGAGACTAAACAAGACTGTGTATGCCACGTGGTAGAAAAGGAAAGATCTCCAATAGGAAAGATTTCCAAAAAAGAAAGACTCAAAAAAAAAGGAAGGACTTCCAAAAGGAAAGATTTCCAAAAAAGAAAGAACGTCCAAAAAGAAAGGACGTCCAAAAGGAAAGACTTTCAAATGCGAAAGAAGAAGAGGAAAGATTCTTGTAAGACTTCCACTTCTACAGAGTAAGATAGAAAATGAAAGGTACACTAGAATAAGGCTAATCAACTGACG